ATATATTTATGATAACTCAACCTGAAATAACCGCCGTAGCGTGCTTATAAAAGTGGGCCACAAAAGTCGAAACCCGAAACTAGAATATGAAAATCAAACAGCGAAACCAGACCAGTTTACTTAGTTGAGGTTACAAATAAATTAAGATAGGGTACTTAGTAATACAATTTTTTTTATTCAATCAAAACTGATATAAGAAAATGAATTAATCTCACTAATTTCTATGTCTGAACGGGGGTTAGAATTCTGGGAGAAAAAAAACCGGGGAAAATTTAAAATATTGGGTAAAAAATTCAAATTAACTGATTGTCAATTTGTATCGGCAAGTAAAGAATACAGGGATACAAAATAATAATAAATAAGTTTTGTACGGCAGTTATTTGGGTTGTGCTAAAAAATACCCTGCACATTCAGCGTAAAAGAATTACCGTGGAAATAAAATAGGAATAAAATAATACAGTTAGTACTACAAAACGATTTGTCATTATAATATATTTCAAACATTAATCAGTGATGCGACACCTCCTTAGTAAAAGTGGTTGTTAGTAATGGGATAAATAATACCAAAAACTGCTGTAATTTGTGAATATTTTAATTTATAGCCATAGTAACTATTTTCAATTTTCCATTCCAGGGAGCCATTGTGGGGTATCACACGAGAAAGGTTCTTTACTTTGGTGTAAAGAATAAGTACTGTTGTATGTGTGCTCGGTACACTGGGAAACCTATGGACCCACCGCCTCATGCCTGTTTCAAAAATTGGGACAAAAGTTCTAGTAGTATGGAGGCGGCAGCAATTGTGGAGGGCTTCCTTTGTAGTGTTGATATGCATGGCGTCAAGTATAAAAAAATAGTAGCGGACGGAGACAGCAGCGTTTACCAACGGATTTTGGAAGTGCGACCTTATGACAACATGCAAGTCGAAAAGATCGAATGTAGGAATCATTTGCTGCGCAACTTTTGCAATAAGATAAAGGAAATAGCTACAACAACTGACAGAGATCAAAACACCGACAAAGCGACCCATTGCAAACAAAGAAAAACCATCAATTCATCAGTCATGAGATTAAGAACTGCTGTTACCAAAGCTATTGCATACAGGAAGAAAGGAATCTACACTATAGAAGAAAAGGCTAAACAGTTGAGAGAAGACATAATCAATGGGCCTAGCCATGTTTTTGGTGAACACCGTCGTTGTAGTGAACTCAATTACTTTTGTAAAAAGACTGTTCCTGATGAAATAAATCACGTTCCTGTTATGAGGCAGTGTGGACTATACCAGAAAGTAATGGCTGCCGTTGATGCGCTTGCCGATCAGAGCAGGCATCTTATTCAAGATATTGACAGCAATGTTGTAGAACACTATAATGCTGCGGTAGCCCGATCTGTAGGAGGGAAAAGGGTAAACTTTTGCTTGAAAGGTTCTTACCAAGCTAGATGTGCTGCAGCAGTGGTACGTCACAACTCAGGACGCTCCTACTATAGCCTATACAAAACCATGTTTAAGAAAAGCCCGGGAAAGTTTAGCAAACAATCTGAGGAACGAGCTAGAAGATGCGTTCTTTTGGCAAGATTAAGGAGAGCTCAAAAACCTAAAGCTCGGCGTTCTTTAATCACAAACACGCGTGATAACAAAGATGAACATTATGGACCCCTGTGTAAAAAGCCCGACTTAGATGCAGATGTGTATGAACGAAAGGTTGCAGATCATATGAAAAGCCTCCAGTTACCTGAAGAAGGTCGACGTAGACTAGAAGAAAACACGAGGGATCAGTGTAACAGTGAGCTGTGGCGAGAAGAGCGGAGAATCCGTCTTACAGCGTCCATCTTTGGAAAGGTGTGCAACAGGAAAGTGTACTCAAACTCTGCCCCTGTTGTGTCTGAGATTTTATACAATTTCCCCAAAGACTGCCCAGCCACTAGGTATGGCAGAGATATGGAACAGGAAGCCAGGAGGGAACTATCGCTTGAATTGGGAAAGCCCGTAGATCCTTGCGGGTTTTTCGTAGATGAAAATCTTCCCTTTTTAGGGGCAACGCCTGATGGCCTTATAGGTGATGATGGCATTGTTGAAATTAAGTGCCCTTATGCAGGAAAGGACCTATCACCCGATGATGTAATTAGTAAAAAAGTAGGGGAAGTAGGTAAAATGTTTGTAATGGACAAGCATTCCAAAAGTTTAGTGGTAAAACCAAAGCACAAATACCATTACCAAGTGCAAGGACAATTACATATTACGAAAAGAGATTTCTGCGTATTTGTGTTATGGACACCTGTAGGTATGAAAAGATTCATAATTAACCGGGATGATGACTTCTGGCGAGTTGAAATGGAATCTAAGTTGACAGATTTCTACATGAACTGCCTTTTACCCGAATTAGTGGACCCAAGAAAACGTAGGAGTATGCCCCTAAGAGAGCCTTTGTATATTTTGGAAGCGCAAAAGTCAAGGGAGGAAAAGAAAGAGCTCGCAAAACCACTGCCATGCCTGTAGAGTCAGTAGTATTTTGTAAATAACTCCAAATGAACCATTTGACAGTAGGCCTATTGTACCCTTATTTGTGATTTTTTATTTTGTAATAATGAGTTATTTGTTTTGTAAAACTTTGTATATCTGTATGAATAGGGGTTTTATACAGATATTTTCGAATTTGTATACTTTATTTAATACTTGACTTGTTGTTTAAGATTGTCCGTAGTATTTTGTAAATAACTCCAAATGAACCATTTGACAGTAGGCCTATTGTACCCTTATTTGTGATTTTTTATTTTGTAATAATGAGTTATTTGTTTTGTAAAACTTTGTATATCTGTATGAATAGGAGTTTTATACAGATGTTTTTCAATTTTTATACTTTATTTAATACTTGACTTGTTGTTTGTTGAGCGTCTGAAAATCACCCCATGATTATTGATGAAGTTTTAAGAGCGTTTCATATTTCTCATTCCACAATTTTGGTCACTTGAACTATTTTACATAATTATAGATTTCATTTTCCAACATGTATAGCCTCCGGATTACCAACATACAATATAAGTGGTTTAAATACTCTTGTACAGTAATCCAAATGTTAATTTGGTTAATGCAAGTAAGTTTACACTTACGTGTAAGCTTCATTTATTTATGTAGCCCTTTTGTGTATAGTTGTTAATTATTTGACAGTAATTTTAAATATTATGTTTCCTGTAAATAATAGTGTAACGATCTATATTTCATTTTAATTTATTACAAAATATCACAGTGTATATTAATATGCTTATAATAAACATAAAAGGCCAAACAATGTTTTTCAAATATACAAATTATTTAACCAACAGTTCGAAAAATAATGTTTTAAGCTGTAGAGCTGAAATAGGGTAGCCCTTACTGTATGTCATGTTTCTGTAAGACTAAATGGGAAAATATATTATTTTGAAAACTTTTTGCTATGTATTGATTGATTTACATAATAGGCCCACATCATAATTATTTGTATCTTGTATTGTATTATTTACGCAAATATGATGACTAATAAAATGTAAATACAAAAGTTAGCTGTTCGTCAGACAGTATAAGTGAGCCATTATTACATAATATCATTGACTGTATATACCTACAGTAGGTATATATAGTCAATGATAATATTTGAGACCATTTTATGTTTGAAGTATGAGATTTATCGAGCACTTTAAATAAGGCCGAGAATATTGTTAGACCCTTTTTCACTCGCTCTTTGAACGTTACTTTTCGCTACAATACATAAATACTAAAGATTTTTAATAACAAAAACCAGAGCACAAAAGAAAGAACTCAATTAAATAGCTGTTTATACAGTTAATAGGTACATTAAAAACCGCGTTGAATTTTTTAGGTTATGACTTCAATTTGAAGTTGATATATTCTTTGGTTGTACAGTTTTGGTTGTTAAAAATTGAAATAGTTGACTAGTTGACAAAACAATAACAAGTTTTTGTTAGTTTACGTTCGAAAAAATCAAAAAAAGATGGTTAACAATACTTTTGCATCGTACTAAATTTTGTTTGACTGCAGCTGGAACACCTAAACATAAGTGAGAGTTGAGAGAGGAACACAGCAACACAGCAGCAGTTCAGTTACAAAGGTTGTACTGTTGCTGTACCAAGAATGTGTGAGTCACTACCATCAGTTTCCCTTCCCACAGGTTCCGCTCGACAACCATTCTGCGTTTAGCGCAATCGCCGCGCGTCTACGTAGTTCTCTAGACGGCTAAGAGAAAGCGCCACCGCCGCGTGTAGTTCTCTAGTTGACCGTGTGACAGCGCCTAAGTCGATCTAGCTGGCTGGGCTAGGCTCCAACGACTCTTAATACAAATTACACAACTTATTTTAGTATTACTTTTCTTTATAATGAACATATTGTTTTATGGTAATGTCAGCACATTTCTAGAATTGGGATTATTTCATTTACATATTTGTTTAGGTATTACCATAGACCACGAATACTAGAAAAGACTCTGTATGGATCAATTAAATGAAGTTTTTGGCCCGAAAGTAAACAAAACCATTTGTCAATTAATGCTATTCGTATAGTGGTTTTGTTTACTTTCGGGCCAAAAACGTCATTTGTTTATGTTTATGATCCATACCGGTATTTTTTTTGTATTCTTGCCATAAACAAATAAAATTAACTTAACACATATACATACATTACAAGACTGTTTTGTAAAAATAATACAAACTGAAACAGTATATATAATTTATACCAAGTAAAAGTCGGTAGTCTTTAAAATTTAAAAATGTTTATGTATGAAACATATAAACAAATTTAATGAATAGAATACTATTAACCATTGATTCTGTGATGTTTCAGTACCTTGAAATGATCAAAGATTCCTCATAATGTTATACCGACGGAACGTAAATAGTAAAATGCCATACACAATATTATGCCGACATCTAAGGAACGGTGAAGAAAAAAATAAATATAGAAATGTTATATAGGATTTTTTGTAAAAAAAATAACTCAATATAGGCCTACTAACCTGCTAAAAGGTAATCCAAAATGGTCTTTGGTAAGGCGAATAAAGAGTTTTCATAATTCATACACTTAGAGAAAACCACAAGAAGGTGAGGATCCAAAGTGTAGAAGTACAAAAACTGCTCGGGGTGAGCGATGAGGACACCGAAACCGAAACCAGTTCTGGAGCCGAACTGACATTGGAACTTGAAACTGAGCGCCGGCCGACACGCCGCGATGGGGGGAGGAGGGATGGATCCTCCCACAAGGGGGGGGGGAGGAGGGCTATGAACGAATATAATTATGTTACCGGTAGAGTAATGTAGGCATGATAACATTGACTGATACTTGTAGGCAATGTGTGAAATAAATATAGTAGTAGCAATATGATTTTAAACTCTTTGACTAGGCATTGTGTATAATACACGGCGACCTTTAAACTTCAGATCGAGGCCTTCGAAGTGGCACTGTCGCAAGTAGGGTTGTATGGTAATTATCATCATTACACCATTCTTAGTGCGAAATGTTGGTTTTATGATTTTAATTAATGTTGTCATGAATATTTGTAACATAATAAAAGAAGACTTAAACCAATTTTTACGAGAGTTGTACATTGATTAGTATCCATTAAACTTCCGCTGTGATAAAGCGACCTTTTTCAAATATAATACCAAAGTTGAGTTCTGTTACATTTTTAATATTCTTCTGTAAAACGGTAACAAATTCAAATTCATGTTTAAACACCTTAATCTAAGAGGTTAAATATAATAAAAACTCAATTAAAAATCAATTTATGTTTTAAAAATTAATATGTCTAGATTGCATAAAAACGCTAGTTTACAGCTATTATTTTTCAAAATTTTTCCGGGTTCCATACGAAATGCATAAAAGTCGATGTATAAGAGCTTCGCTCGCTCCGCTCAATAATTACCATTTTTCCTTATTTACTTTATATGTACGTTTTTCAACGAAATAAATGTTTTAAGTAAGCTTATCATTTGAAAATTAAATTGTATGGGTACCTTATTTCCAAACACGCATCAGCGCCTCATATAATTCGCACTAAGTTAGCCTAGCCTTAAAGAAAGATATTTTTGTTCAAATTAAGAGTTTCAATTGAGTTATGTTCCTGAAACCAAAGGGGAATGTGTAACTATTTTATACAACAGGCTTAAAGATCAAATTTTTTGCTTCAGTGTCCTCTCCGTTGCGAAGCACGGGTACAGCAGCTAGTAGGCCTATATTGATAAAATTTGGCAAATTGATTTATTTCATCCTATACTGTACTATTGACGTATGGTAAAAAACCTTTACCTTCCCCGTAGCAGCAAACCTTAAGCACTCGTTAAATCTAATGTTATTTAAATAGGGGAAAAATATGTCTTATTTATGGAAATAGGCCTATTTTAGTAAAAATGTAATCAGACAAGCTGAAATTCGCTTAGTCTGCAGGTTTGCTGCGGCGGGGGTATTTAACTTTTAATACCTTTCTTTCTGGCTCCATCGATTGTTCTTGAACGTTTCAAGGCTTCTTAAAGTAACTGAACGTTCTGAAAGTTCCCGTTGCATTATTTTGTAATACTGGAACTGTGCCTAACAGAATACTGGAGCTGGAACGGGAACGGGCTGTGCTGTGGAGCATTTTGACGTGCGAATGCGAATAACTTTAACTTAAGTGTTAGGCCGCGGCTCCACTTGCCGTAGATTGCCGCGGGGGACGCGGAAAGGTCGCCCCCGGAAACATCACCCCCCTACGTCATAATGACGTCAGAGACCGGGGGGTGATGTTTCCGGCCGCGGACACTCAATTTCAGTTGCAGCATGCCCACAAAAATAACTCGTCGATATGACGAGTTATTTTTGAGTTTGCGTATTAATTAGATAATTATATTCACTTATCATATACAATTACCAGATTTTCTAATTACAATTGATGTTAACCTTATACGCTAACCCCGATCGTTTTCAAAATGCACACCCCGGAAAGGTCCCCCCCTGCCATGATCACCCCCGGTATACCTGCTGTAGGGTTTGGGCTCGTGACTCGAGCCAGCTATTGTTCACAAGGGTAGAGACTGTCCCATATTACCACCGCTCGACTGAACTCGAAAGAATGGGAAGGATTTGGTATTATTACGCAAATGTTGTGGATATTAAGATAAATACAAATTAACACTTTGATATTGTGCTTTCTCTATAGACATTTCCCCTTAATTTTATACATTAAATGATGTATAAATTACATATAGTTTTTTCCGTCAACGTATAAAATGTATTTGAAACACGTGGAAATGAAATAAAATGTTTATAGTAATAGTACAAATTAAGTAAGGAATCAACTCGTATTAATATGAGCATGCTTCAACCACTCAACATAATAGTGAACCCTCAACAAAACACACTTGACAAACATATTTTCACATTTCCTAATTCTTATATTGTAAACATTGAGCAATAAATGCTGTATATGATATACATTTAAATAATTTTCTGGATTTTATGGTAAAATAAATGCATTGAGAATATTCCTGATTTGATATTGGTGAAGGACTCTTTCCCGTAAAAAGAATTTAGAAAGTAAATATTGGTTAGTTTCTTCGCCAATAAACAGGGAAAAGTTCACACTGTTTACGTTTGCGTTGACAGAGAAGCAAGCAACAGTGTCACATTCACTTTATTTCATGATTTCACACTGCTGATTTTAAATAACTAAATTGACATTGAAGTAGTACAGTTATTCCATGAACGGTCACCCATTGTTTTGAAAGTTACACATTTAAATCTACCTGTAGTTCACAGAATATTAATACGTATAACTTAAAAGTTTGCAAGAGAACATAATCCTAAGTATTGTATCCACTATTCTCAGAGTATTGATTTATGGAATTCGTCTGTAATTTGCAGACTTTTAATTCGTAGAGTACAACTGTATTTATAGCGGGAAGTAATTTTATTTAAAATAGCTGAGACTTCCCCACTTCAGTTATCCCTCCCAAGAATACCTGAGTCAAATACGTTTGTTTAACATAGTTAAGGAAAAGTTTAGTTAGTTATTTACTAAAGTCAGTTTCAACTTTTTACCATAATTCGTACATTAACATAATTCATAATTATCACTGTTATCTAGCCTATGTACTTAATTAATTTGGAAGGGGTTAATTTGTGAACAGAACGCCTCATAGAGTTTTAAACAGATTTTGAAAATGTTAATGTAATTTGTAAAAAGTATACTCTGAAGTTGCACTAACAATAAAATCAGCTCAAAATATGGCAGGGGATTTTCCCCGGTGTTTTCTAGAGACCTGCTACAACGTTTCACATTTTTATAACCCTCAAAATTTTGGTATATCGATATAGACTACACACATTCTACAAAAATGACATAACTTTCATGGCATAAACTTATAGGCCTACTTACACAGATTTGATTTCAGACAAATCTTTATTTTACCCAAGGGTAGAAGTATTAGAGACGTATAGTTCAAATCTACAGATTTCCTAAATACGAGGATCCATTACGGTAGGAGAAAACATCATTTAAAATTGAAACAGTATGCGGGCAAACACCGACGATCAATATTTAAGTAACTACTTGTAACATAAAAACGTCAATGACAGTTTGAAACCAGCTGTTAGTTAAAATACCCCCGTCGCAGCAAACCTGCATACTAAGCGAATTTCCATTTACCCGGCTTGATTTCTACTAAAATATTCCCTATAAATTTTCAGATTTATTTCCTATTTAAATAACATTAATTTTAGTGAGTAGTTAGGTTTGCTGCTATGGGGAAGATGTTGAGATGTGTTTTTTCAATTGAAATATTGATAGCTTAGTATGAAATAAACCAAATTGCCAAATTTGATTAAAATATATCCATAAACAAGCAAACTAGAACAGTTTATTTATTCTCCATAAGAATAACATGGGAATTTTAAATTTACAATTTTTTAAATTTTCTCCGTAGTCAATGTACATTCAAAAACACTTCAATATACTAAATTATTTGTTTTTTTAAGCTCTTCAAAATGGTCTCGAGAGAAATTTAGAAATTTTAAGTTTTTAGAGTCAAAAATTAGAAAAACCCATTTTTACCCCATAAAACCCCCCATAAACCCCTGATCCCATGGTCCGATTATGCTGGTTCGCGAACTCGTTCGAATAAATGTAGGTTTACACGTTTGTACCAAATTTCATCAAAATCTGATCAATTTTGCTCGAGTTATCGCGCTAACGGACACATATATAAATATATATATATATATATATATATATGAATTTGAACGGATGGTGTTTTTGGCCTCTGGGGACCTCAAAACGAAAAAGTAAATCGGTCCCGGGTCTAGGTCTTACCATGAGACCTACGGTAATAGCTATTCCCTATATGGGAAATTCGCTAACAGCACTGAAATGACTTAAAATTATTAGCGTCGGCTGCTAGACTAAAAAAATTAAACTTAAAAAAATGAAATAATGGCATTGACATTCCCTTCCTTTGAAAATTATATTTATTTCAACACAAAAATCACGAAAATAGCGAAAGTGGTTGATTTAGAATCCTGAAATGAAAAAACTCTGTCACGTTTAAAAATATAATATATCACAATTAATTGCACACTCTAGTGGAAATCGATGAAACCCACCCATATGAATTCTTGCTTATCCGTTTACTTTTCCACTCTTTGCGTTTTTGTACATGCCAAGTCAAGTCTTAAAACATTACATTTAAAACAATTGTATTAAATCTTCCATAAATTACAAGAAACAGTGACTCATTCATTTTCCCCGATTTCGAATATTTGTGCGCAATCTTGGCGACTTATGTTCAGTCTCCAGCATTTTGGAGGTGTTCGCAATTCAGACACACCCGTTCCCATAGTCCGATTATGCTGGTTCACGAACTCGTTCTAATAAACTTAGGCGTACACGTTTGTAACAAATCTCATCAAACTCGCAGCGTTGTTGCCCGAGTACCGCGCTCACGGTCACATATACAGGGTGTTTACATTATCTTTACAGTTACATTAATAAGTTTAAAGTTACATTATCTTTTACGTAGTTAAAATGACAAAGTACCGTATTTGATTTGATAATTTGAAATATTGTCAAAATATTTTTCAACCTTTTCCCATATAAGAAGGCGTCCAAACACTACCAAATAGGTAAAGGTACTACAGTAGCA